GTTATGTACGTGCAACGCCGCGTGCACACACGCGTGCCATACAGGCGAATGCCTCAAACTTGCTCTGAATCATCTCTCTCTCTCTCTACAAAAGTGCACTCACACTATTGTTGTGTGTACTCGCATGCTGCGTGCTGCTACGTGTGTGCACGCGGCGTTGTAAAAGGGGGTGGTGGCTACAGCAGAAGCATCAGCGACGGTGGCAATTAATGGCCGAGTTGTTCGCGCGCGAGGCGAAGCTCTCTTTAACGCACGCGAGTATATGTGGGTGGGTGTGGGTGGGTGTAGTAGTAGCTAGTAGTAGTAGCGCGCAGTTGGAGAGTCCTCTTTCTCTCGAAACTCTCTCGTACGAATATACGTACGATACATACATACGCGTTACAGCAACTGACTTTGCATCGTAGTGTCTCTCTCTCTCTCTGTTTCAGTCGCGTGTGTATATATAGGGACGTATTTGACATATTTTGCGAGAGCTGCGCGCGAAAGCCCGACGACAGATCAGGGAATATGGAAAAGTGAACGAGCTGCGAGCGAGAGAGAGAGTAGACAATGTGTACACCGCCGTTGCCGCTGCCGCTGCAGGAGGGACATCTCTCTCTCGTTCTCTCGCTCTGTTTCTGACGTGCAGATTAGTGTCCGCCCATTGTGTCGACGTCAGCCTGGTTAACACGCATTCAGAGAATCAGAAGGAGAGTGAGGTGGAGGACTACCACCTACACACAGACACGTAGATAGATATGTGTATACGTACTCGAACAGAAATTCGCGCATAAGGGTTCGCTGAAACAATTATATACACACGGAGCGCGACGACGATGACGCGACGCCGCCGCGGCTATTGTGTCATGATGCATATTACGCGTCGCCCGAAAATCGTCGCGAGATATTTGTCACGACGATCGCGCTTCGTATATAATATCATAATCTTACCGGCGCGTGCGTGCGATGGGCCTCTTTTGAATGGCAAATAGTTGGATATAATTTAAAAAAAAGAAGAGTGTACGCAAACTTCTGTACTCGCGCTCAGATACATCAGCGCCATTAAGGGAATAATAATCATTATAATAGGCCCTGTAGAGCCCTTATATTGCGTAAGATGTAACACGCCGCACGCGCTACGAACCCCCTTGCGCTAGGCAATTCGATACACATTGGCGCACCTCGTTTCTCAGCGCGTCAAGGAGCCTATAATACGTATATATATAAGGCAGAGCGAGAGGCGAGAGTGTGGGGATAGGGAAAAGGCGATAATGGAATTCTCAAAGCATCGAAGTTGCGGCGGTGGCAGCAGCAGCGGCAGTGAAGGATCTTTCGGAGTCCGGTGTATTTTATAATGAAAAGAAAAAAATAATGCATATTAATAAAAGCCATGCGATGATGAGGGTGGATTAAATCACTCGAGACAAGATCGTGAGCATTTATATTTTTAAAAACAATTGTTGTTTATTTTAATCGCACAATACATACACCATATTCACTATATTATAATTAACGGGGCTCAATTTTTCTTCTTCTTCTTCGTCTCAGAGGAAAGTCTCGAGGGAAAGAAGCTCCGTTCCGCGAGCGCTCGTCGCTTTCTTTCTCTCGAAAATTCGTATTTATATATAGTTTCGGCAAAACGCTTGTCTTTTCTCTGTATCGTTTTGAGCCTCGATCGCACGTTACCCAATTATGCCTCAATATTTTTTTTTTTTTCGTTTTTGCTTATATTTTTTTCGTAATTATATTACTTTTCGTAATTCGCCTTGATAGATCTCGATTCTAAGGGTCTAATGCGTAATCGAATTGATTTTTGACCACTGAGATTGAGTATTTTAGTTCATCAGAGCGGATGTGTGCTGGCGTTTTTTAAATTTTTATAATTTTTTTTTTTTTTGTTACCCTGAATCAGAAAGTTTTCATATTTTTTTTTCTTACATGCCACGCGTGTAAAGCGGGCCGTGTAAGTCTTCTCCGTGATTGACCTATGTGCTTTGATTTTTTGTTTTTTATTCGATTCGATGCATGATCGAAGAGAAGAGTTTCGCCACTTTTTTTCTCTCTCGGCGACGATCAATAAGTCTATTAATTCTTTAGTGTGCGCTTCATTTATACCTCATTCTTGATTTATCTCGGATGAATGCGGTAAATACGTCTTTGTGTATTTACGTTTTTTTGTTTATTACTTTTTTTTTTATACTACTAGTCGTTTTGTATTTATTCAATTAATTTTTACTTGTTAAATTTTTTTTTTTTATTTCGTTACCCTGTGTGCATATTGAAACGCCAGAGAAATCGAACGCGGCGAGACTTGACAACGAGAATTTATTGTGCTTTTATTAACGTTCACCTATACGTATATGCGCAAAGAATGAAAAAGGTGATGGAACGATTACTTATTATTTTCATGCGCGTAAGTTCAGTAGAAAATCTTTTTTTTTTGCAAATGCCACTTAAAAAAATTCAACAACGTTTTGTCGTGCTCGCTATTATACGAGGCACGACGGCGCGAGTTTTGTGCTGCTGCGATTGCGATAAAAGTTTTTTTTTTCATCCCGCTCTATGTTAGTAGTAAAAGCATCAAATCTCGCCGATTCATCTTACATTTGGGATCTTGGTCCTATTTTTAAAACGGTACAAAGTCTTGCTAAAGTGAGAGAAATAAATACAAAGAAATACAATATGTATATTCATTATGTATATAATATGTATATTTGGAATCAACTTTTTTTTCATTATATCGATTATCCTCCGCGGCGCCTCGAGACGCGCGGATGCGAATAATTGTTATATCATTTTACCGTCTAATATACTTCATGAAAGTATAACATTTCGTTTCGTAGTTAAACATTCATGGAAAAAGTCTGAATATCGCAGGTGGCGTTTTACAACCTCTCGCCCCGGCCAATCGTTCGATCGCGTTTGGTCTGATAATATTTTTCCGTATTTTTCACGTTTCTCTACTTTGCTGGGTTCGAGAAATTTTCGACAACGATTGGCCGTCAGCGTTATATTGATCAAATTTTGGTTTCTTTTCTCCTTTTTTTTCTTTGCCAAAACGCCGACGAGCGATGATCATTTACAATTCGTATAGTTTATACATAATATCTGTCACTTACGAATGTTTAGCGAAGTTAAAAGTTGCTCTCGCTTTTCTCGTTTTATTTTATACATGAGAATATATTAAACCTATTTAATTTATTTATATTTTCATATAATGGGGTGTAGGAAAAAGAGGGGATAAAAAGGTGGAGCGTGGTTTTTGGAGGGTCGTGTGGTATGTGTGAATGAGGAATCGGCAGTGTCATTATTTACATTATTCATTTCATTTTTAATTACTTTTCTTCATTTTTATTTAATCGTATATAAACAGGGCTTGGCTCATGTACGTATTATTTTATTTTATTTTGTTTATTCTTGTTGAATTATTATGTACTAACAAACGCTTCTCTGCCTCTCTCTCTCTCGGTTTTTTCTTTTCTTTTTCTTTTTTTTTTTTTAACTAGTTAACGAGATTTTTTTTTATCTAAAGTCGGTACACGACTAACACTGAAAACTATCTGATATGAGATTTTTTTTATTTTTATTTTATCCGCTTGCTCCGTACAACCGTGCGCTCATTTATCTCACACATATAAATAATATAATATTTGTCTTTCTCTCTCGCTTGCACAACTTTTATGTTTTTTCCCATTTTGTTTTATTTACTTAAAATGCTTTCACCCATACGCATATTTTTATTTTTTCACACACATATGGTGCATATAGAATTATTACAACTTATTGCCTATATCATTTTTTTTTTTTAGGAACAGTTATCTTCTCAATAACGCTTGCAACGACGAACAAAAAGCATAATCATAATACAGCAATAATAATTAATAATAAATAGCAATAATGATAATAATAATATTGATAAAAATATTCTAATATTAATAAAACGCAATTCAGCTGCGTGAACAACGTAGAGCTCGACGTCATAACGACATGAAAAAAAAATGCGAGTACGGAAAAAATGAAACAGTAAAAATTTTGAAGTACCGTATTAAAGCATTTCCGTTGAGATACACAGCGAGAATATGGCGACTTTTGTAGACGCGATGGTCTATGTCCGATTATTACGCCGGCAAAAGTCGCGATAATCAAGAAAACGGAGTTACGCTTTTGCAGATTAACAGAAAATACAAATAACAAAAAAAATATTGAGCGACGTTCAACCGAGTACTGCTGAAGGTACCACTGGGTATTTCACTGTCGATACGAGATGTTTCATTTTTGTTCTCTTCGTACAATTCAAGCTTACAATTCTTCGATGAGCCTCATTTACTTTTAGTTACGTCTGTTTTTTTTCTTGTTTTTTCTTTTTGTAAAATTTTTTCTCAAACACCTTGTAACGACGCGTTAATAGGTATTGCAATAAACCTAGACAACTTTGGCATTTTTTTAAAACTTCGAGCTTTCGGTGCGCGACGAAAGATCAACGCTCGCTATGAACGAAACGAAAGAAAGAGTGCAATAATAAGAACAACGAAAGAATAAAAGAAAGAAAAAATAAAATACTTATTTTGTCTTCAACAATCCAAAGTTACGAGTTCAAGATTATCATATTACGTAATGATGAAAAAAGTTATTTTATTTACACGCTGAACCGTATATTGGCGCGACGGAAAGTCTTTTTTAAATCACCTCTTTCGTTCGTTTTACACTGCACATAATAGTAATAATAATAATATCCGAAAAAAGGACAACGAAAAAAATCACAAATGTACTTTTTTGATAAAACTTTTTCTCACTCCTCTTACCGCTTGACTAAACACTCATTGACAAATTTTATTTCTCTTCCTTTCAAAGATATTAACCACATATGTAATAGCAGTAATAATAATAATAATAATAATTCATAATTACAATGGTAATAATAATAGTGATAATAATCAATCAATAACCAATAAAGTTAATATTTAGCATCATAATGGTAATAGTGTAAAAATTACAAGTGCAAACAATAATAGTACTAATAATAATAATAATAATGATAATAATAATAATAATAATAATAATAATGAAATCATCAAATTTATAATACAAAATACAGCGACAAATTTACAAGTTTCACGCAAATACCTCGGGGCGTAATAATTTTATTATATCCGAAAATGTTCTCGACTGGCCACTATAGAAATGAAAAAAATCGAATCTCATTCCCCTCCCGGTGACGCGCTCGAGCCACATATTGAGAACCGCGTGTGGCGTGTGCTATCAAAAATTACAAGACCAAAAAAAAGTACACGTCGCTCGTGCAATTTTTCAATCGACATATATAATTACAGTATGTTTGATACACGTACTAGTTTACCGAATCAATCAACCGTAAGCCTAATCACTAACGATATTACGAATGCATGATGATGATGATTAAAAAAATAAATAAATAAAATCAGCCGTGTCTTCGCGTATACGTCATCTCCTCGTCCTCCTCGTACTCCTCGTCTCTCGGACTACATTTATAATAATATACATAATTTTTTGTAATATATTTGTAATATATTTTTTTTTATTCTCACTTTCGTTCGTCCGATGCATACTCGCTCTCTCACGCTCACACGCAAACGCACAGCAACTTTTTCACATAGTTTATGTATTATATATAATATTTATATATTTATATATATAGTATACTATATTCATCTACATATATAATCATCTGTTATGGTTCTGTCGACTATGATATACTTTTTTTTCTCCCTTCTCTCATTCATCTCGCGTCGGATGCGCGCTTCTTCTCCATTCACGCACGTTCGTAAGTACCCACGTACTTTTTTATCCTACGTTTTATATTTATATATGCATTTTTGAAGGTACGCGAACTCGAGCTTCCCAGTACACTGGTAACCATAAATATAAGATTTGTTTGTTTGTTTATTTTTTTTTTTGCAAATAGATATAGTAAGTGAACGATGTACTATATATATATCGAGCGACGAAAAAGACGATCGCGCGTCGCGTCGATTTCGCAAAGTCGTGTTCGTTGCAAGTATCGTTTTCTGAAAAAAATCAACGCGCGCCACGCTCTCGAACTTCGATCGTCGTAGACTGGCCATAATCGTTCGCCCCTCGTAAAAATCATGCACGTAATCGCGCGAAGGGCTGACAGGAGCTGTTTCAGAGCTCCGTGCCTCGATGCAATTATACTTCCTATACTCGCGAAGTTACTTTTGGTTCTCGTTGCCTATCATACGTACATACATTTATTTATTTATTTATAAATATGCGTTACGTTACGTTCTGCACTTTTTTTCTCTTTCTCTATAAAATCGTCCAGCCGGTTTCCCATATATAGACTTCAGTAGACCGGATAGGGCGGCCGATGATGCGGCCAGATGAGCGACGTCGTCGTAGTAGTAGTCGTCGGCGCTAGAATCGGCATCGACGATCCTCCAGGCTGACTCTGCTGCGGCTGCGTCGCCGGCCACGATCAGGTGTCCTTCGCGCTCACCGACGACGAGTCCTCGTCCTGGCTGCCCGGATACGACATGACCCCACCTCCGCCGCCGCCCATCATCTTCTGGCCCTGCTGCACGGCCATCACGCACTTGCGCATGTGCTTCTCCAGGGTACTGGGCACCGAGAACGGCATGTCGCAGAAGCGACACTTGTACGTGTCCTTGCCGTGCCGGCCGTGAGTCTTCATGTGCCTCGTCAGCTTGGAGCTCTGGGCGCAGGCGTACGTGCACAGCTCGCACTTGTACGGCTTCTCGCCGGTGTGCGATCGCCGATGCACGGTGAGATTCGAGCAGTTCTTGAACACCTTGCCGCAGAACTCGCAGGTGTCGTTGCGTCCGTGGCCGCGCTCCTTCTTGATCATCTGCGGGCTGGCCTGCTGCAGGCTCGCCTGCAGACTGTGCAGGCTCTGGGCGCTCACCGCCTTGGCCGCGGCCTTGCGATAGTCCGCCGTGTCGAGGTAGTGCGCGGCGGCGGCGCCCAGCGGCCACAGGCCGAACTCGCTGGGCACACCGGCCGCCCTGGGGAAGGGGCTCTGGCCCGAGAACAGATTCGCCGCGGCCTTGAAGTTGGTCGGCGACAGCGCGCTGCTGTCCTTCTCCTTGTTGTTGTTGAGCGTGTGAGTGGGTTGAGCGAGCGAGTTGGGCTCGTTTTTCCCAAAGTGGCCACCTAACGAGCGATGATGGTGGTGGTTCTCCTGGAGCGCCTGGCGATAGGCCTCGTTGTACTGCGCGATATTGCTGAGTCCGATCTGCTCCATTATGTCGCCCACGAGGCTGATCTTGCCCGGGTCGACGCCGATCTTGCCGTCGACGTCGTTGAGCTGCGTCTGCGTCGTCGACAGGTCCTCGGGCGTGTTCTCCTCCTCCTCGGGCTTCACTATCATGCCGTCCTCGTCGAGGTCCATGTTCTCGTCGCAGCTGCTGGCGTCGTCGTCGTCGGGCACCGTCTCCACGCTGCCCTGGGGGCTCATCGGCTCCTGGTGCTCCTTGTGCATGTGTCGCTTGAGCTCGCCGTAGCCCTGCAGCTCGGCCTCGCAGATCTGACAGCGCAGCAGGCATGTCTCGGCCGAGGTGTTGACGTAGTGGGTCTTGCGGTGCTTGACCATGTTGCCGTGGAAGCGGAACCTCTTCTCGCACACGTCGCAGGCGAAGATGGCGAGGTCGCCGATCATCTGGCTGCCGTCGCCGCCGCCGATTATGGGGGTGGACGTCGTCACCGGCGGCGAGGTCTTCTCGCTGTCCGTGGAATTGTTGTTGTTGTGGTGTCGTTCGCCGGGCAGCGGACTCTGCGCGTAATTCACCGGCGGCGTCGTCTCCTTCGTTGACTGCTCTCGTTCTCTCTGGTCTCGTTCTCGTTGTTCACGTTGTTCTCTCTGCTGCTGCTGCTGTTGTTCTCGATCCCGCTGTTCCCGCGGGCCGGGACTCGGCGCCTCGACGCCGTTCTGGGCATTACCGCTACTCACTATCGCAGCGCCACCATTGTTATTATTATTGTTACTCGCTACCTGGACCGAGGCGTTATTCGGAGCCGCGCCTAAGGACGTATTAGCGAGGCTCCTTAGGCGCGCCGAGTAAAAATCCAGGTTCGTGTCCAACGGCGGCGGGGCTCCGGCGGGGCCGCCCGGGTGCTGGGCCTGGGCCTGCTGCTGCTGCTGCTGGGCGCGGGCCGCGTGCTGCGCCGCCGAGGTGAGCTCGGCGAGATTGGCGATGTTGCGCGCGTTGTTCAGAGAGTCGATCGAGCTGCGCACCAGCGAGTCGCCGAGTTGGAGGCCGTCGATGCCGCGCAGCGGGTCGCCGAGGCTCTGCAGATTGCGCGTCGCCTGCTGCAGGTCCTGCATGCCCCGGAAGCCCAGGGGATTGATCCCGAGGAACTCCGGCCTGAACATCGGGGGAACCGGGAAGCTGCGATCCAGGTTGTGGGGTAGCCGGAGGAAGCTGCTGAGCGGATCGTTCAGTGGTCCTGTAGTTATTTGAGCTTGTTGTTGCTGCTGCTGTTGGCGATTGCTGCCGCTGGTATTATTGCCACCGGCTCCCGTGCTGCTGCCGCCTCCCGACGAATTCGCCGCCGAGGAGCTGCCCGTCGACTTGCCGCTGAGGTTCAGATGATTCAGCGGGCTGAGGTGGTGGCTGCCGCTGCTGCTCTGCGACGAGACCGGATGAGGGCCGCCGCCGGCCAGGGTGGGCGTGGGCGTCGGCGGCGACGGCGCCGGTGTGTTGGACGACGAGCTCGCCGACGAGTTCATGCTGTAGAGCCGGATGCCGTGCTGGCTCTGGACGTGCTGCACCAGCTCCCAGGCCGTGGAGGAGCGCGCGCCGCACTGCGTGCATCGCAGCCACTTTGGTTCTGCAACAGGGGTAAGAGAAAAGGTTTTCTTTTATATATTGTAATATAATGTATGATGTTTAGAAAAAAATTGATTGCGTATATGAGACAATTTATAGTATATAGGGAGATGTAAGCGCGAACAAAATTGAGTTTCTGCAACGAGAAGAGAAATTTTATTTACGAACTTATATTTACATGTACTATTTACACTTCTCACCTGTAGAGAGAAGAAAGGACATTAAATGTTCGTTGTTACACGTATCGTCCCTATTGCTCAAGTCAGCGATCGAGAATGATCTCACAATTTTGATGTGCATATTACCATAGCTGACGTATACGTCGGCTGTACGTACTGACAATTTGAAAATCGCGGTAAACCAATTAAAGAAATGACAGTTTCTTTACACGTATATTTCCGAGATAAGGGAAGATGATAAATCGATTGGCTTATTATAGTTTTTAAACCCTCTAATATACCGTGTACGAAATCGTCTTCCTTACTCTCGCTCTCCTTTATCTCGATTGAATTCGGAATTCAAACCGCGCCTGGTCGCCGCGTGGTCTGCGTCAAATTGCCCGTCTGCCTTGGGAGTAGGAGAAAAATAAGAAGAAGCAAAAAAAAAATAATAATAATAATATCCGCGACGACAAGCTGCTACTGCTGGTCGACACGGCTATCATTGTCGACGCGACTTCGACAACGTTTCGTCTGCGGGGGTTGAGAAAAGGAGAGAAGCGAAACTGACCCTTAACGACTTTTCTCTCTCTCTCGGCCGTGTACGGGTTTTGAATTTCAATGTTTTTCATCCGGAATATCAGATTTTCAGCCATTTTTCACGCTCTCGTTGTCTCGGACGGCGATCATCCTGTGGTCTCCTTCTTTCTTTTTTTTTTTATTAATTCGAGTCGAGCCCCCCCGTGTGCGATACTTTGTCACCCCCGTCGGCGCACACAGTCGTGTCAGCCATACGATCGACTTCCCTCGGGCTCGTATGCAACAGCAGCAGTATACCGCGCGCGCGTGGCGTATATAGATATTTTAGACTTTTTTTTTTGCAACGGCACAGCCTTTGGAAAGAAAGTAGATACGAGCGAGAGAAAAAAAAAAGGCCGAAGGTAATAGCTAACGGATGCTTTACACGACCTCGAAACATATTCGAGATGTGTTATAACGTCGGCCGCTGTTGCCGCTGCTGCCTATATATACATATAGCGCGGGATATCTTCAAAGTGGTGGTATAGGCGGTGGTGGTGGCTGCTGGCCCTGCTGCTGCTGCTGCTGCACAACGAGGGCGCCTACTCAAAAATTTATAGCCGCTGCGCGCACAGAGTATCTATGTGGCACAACCACCAGCAGTAGCATCGGCACTGCTGCTGCTGCTGCTCGTTGAATCAGTTAATGCTTTTAATCGGATTTCCATGCCACCGTCGTCGTCGTCGTCGTCGTCGTCGTCGTTGCGCCGTGATCGAGTTTTCGAGCTCGCGCCGCGCGACCCGACGAATCAATGAACCGATTGCGGTCGGAGTAACTGTGTAAGTGTGTGTATGTGTGTACGAGCTGTCATCGAAATAGGGCTATGTATCTGTCTTTTTTTAATTCCGATGCGACAACCCAATTTTTTCCATCGACGTATTTTAATAATCGAGCTTATTTCGAGGTCCCGGGGAATCTAATTTTTTTTTAATTTATCGATAGCCTTTCCTTTCTCACGATTAATTAAAAACTTTTTGATCTCTCTCGCGTGTACACGACGCTGGACTGCGCGGACGATAATGGACGAAGGCCAATTCACAATGGCTTAGAAATCGAACTCGAACGAATTTTTTCGTATCGTTATTGTTAGTCGGCTGCTGCTGCTGTCTATAGGAGTAAAGCGAATTGCGTCGGCAAATATTCGCGCGCGCAAACGAGTAAATGCAAAAGAGGTACCGTTTTTTTTCCTTGCTTTGCTTTGCTTTGCTTTTTTTTTTTAACCAATGGCTTCCGGACAACAATGGAACGACTACTGCCGTACGAAACTTTTTTACTCTACTGTCTCTCTGTCGCATCTCTCTCTGCTTGTCTTTGTCTACTCGGGAAGTTCCTCGGCTAGCGAGAGAGAGAGAGAGAGAGAGAGAGAGAAAGTCAGTCGCTTTAAATGACCTGTTAAGACGAAAAACTTTTTCCTGTGCCCCAATGCCCGGAGATGAGACGAGCAGCTCTCGGGCGCGCCTAGGAAAGGTTCTGCAAGTTGTATAAGCTCGTTGAAGTTTTCGATCGTTTTCCTGTTTCTCGCGGCGGCGGCGGCGGCCGTAGGAAGTTAAAGGGCAAAAAGGGAGCAGAGAGAGAGAGAGAGCGAGCGAGAGAAAAACAAAAGGGGACGACGAGATCCCAAGATCGGGCTAATTAAACGGGCATTTCTGATTTTTTCGCGGCACAAAAGGTCGAGGAACTTTATATATATTATATAATGCACGAGGAGTAGTTCATTAAAAACAATCGATGACATAGACTCGCGCCCACTACTACCACCGCGCCGGCAGTACGCCTTGTTTTCCACTTGTCTGAGCGCGCGCTTTATGTACGCGGCTATGCATATGCTGCGGGGGAGAAGAGGTATTATATATAATATCCACTGGCCCCGAAAAATGAATTGTGTGAGTTATTTTCCGGCGCTTCTTCTTCTCTCGTTTTTTTTCTCTCTCTCACCCGCTCACTCACTCTTTGCTCGCTTGCGGAAGTCAAAAATATTGCCGACTTCCCCGGGCTCGAGGGGGTGTCTGTGCTTCTCTATCCGACGCGCCGAGAGAGATAAGAAAGTGCCCCGTGCAGATGTGTATAGACACACACACACAAGCAGACATAGACCTTCACATAATAAAGGTGTATCGATTCACACGAGCTCTCTCTCTCTCGACTTTCGAGTCTCTTTTCATATGCAAACTTTGCGGGTGGCCATCCGTTATAGGATTATATATTATATTTTCTCGCTTGCTACTTCTTCTTCTCTCTCTTTTTTTTCGTCTTTTTCTTCTTCTTCTTTCAGAGCGCGCGCAAATCCGTAATTTCTCTTTCGCCGAGGATACCGAAAAAGAAGTCTTCTTCGTCACCCCCTTCGAGCGAGATCGAGATTCCCTTGGCGAAAAAAAAGCAAAAAAAAAAAGAACTACACGGAATCTATCCGGGGCAATCGTCGAGTCTCATGCGTAAAGTGACCAGGCCATTTATCGAGTTAGAGCTCTCGCGTATACGTTGTATAATGCATAAACCCCGCACGACGATGGGAGAGCCGTTTTAGTTCCGAAATTGCGCGTGATGCCTCCTCATATAATACACCGCAAGTCTGCTGCTACTACCGCTGCTGCGGCACTCGAGCGTCAAATCGTTTGGAAATCGTCCTCATCGTCGTTGCTGCATTTACCATTGTGTCTGTGTCGTCGCACCGTCGGCAATGGGCATATCATCGGCCCTGGTCTCCTTTTGGTCATTGGTCGCCCGTAGTAGTAGTAGTAGTCTGCGACGGAAATACGGCCTTTCCGAGGGCCTCGAACTCTTTCACGCCAGATTTCACATCGAGCCCCCGCACACAACGATATATACGTGACGCACTCGAACACATCCCAAGTAGTAGTAGTACTAGTAGTAGTGGTGGTGGGGGTCCGTTAAAAACTGCATCGAGCGTAATAATTGATACGCTATTTTTTTGCTGCTGCTGCTGCTGCTGTCACGAGTCAAAAGTATTTTTTCTCTCTCTCTCTGTCGACAAAGTGTACCACTACTCATATAATACAACCGAAGCGTACTACGGTGGATATACACAGTGGACGCTCGGGGCAGACAAAGGCTCGTCCCTTGTACCGTTGCGACCCGTGTTGCGCCAGACTGCGACAATATTAAAATATCGATTGGCTGCTGTCGCTGTTACTGCACACACATACGCGTACACGTATGCCACGTATGCACTTTGTATCGCGATACGAGAGCCGGTGTGGACTCGTCGGTGCGTAAGAGAGAGAGAGGCTGTGTCGTGTAGCAGGGGCTGCTGCTGCAGCTTATGCACACCGCACATTCACCGAATCTCTTTTCAGGTATATATACTGTATACACGTCGTACACGGGGCAGAGAATTATTTTACGATTACGTGGCTTATCTACACTTTGATGCTCGCGCGCGTGTATGCGCGCACGGACCGTGGTCATGGTATTCTTTTCTTTTTTTTTTTTTTTTAATTTTTAATTGCCAAAGCTGTCAAGTGCGAGTATAGTACGATCCGCACGTGTGTACGTCATGCGTGTATAGTTCATTTCGTTCATCGTTATTATCATCTTCTCCGCTGTTGTTATTTTTTTTTTCTGTTGTTGTTTTGAAAATCGATTTGCGGCGTCTCTCGTAAAGCGACGATACATACACGACGACATTGTGGTCACTCTCGGGAGAAACACACATGTACGAGCGCGAGCTTTTATTATCGCGCATTGGTCAGAGCAGAGTTATTTGCTCACACACATATACATAAGCACGTGAGAGATAGCAGACCACAGCTAAATGACCGATTTGTTCGCTCTGCGGTTTGTGCTCGCGTATATACACGTGTGCGTGTAAGAACGATGAGTAAAAAAAAAACACGTAAGAAGACAACGACGACTGTTTTTTTTTTTTTTTGCTTCACTCCTTTTCTCGCGCTCGTGTTTATGTTACATATATACGCGCGGCTCCGTCCGAAGAGTCAAATTCACGTTGTTGTTGTCGTGTCTGTACTACTACTGGTACTATTACTACTAGGTGTCTGTATACACGGGTATGCAAACTTTACCGAGGCTATACACAGAGAGAGAGAGAAGAGTACCACTGCTACATGCGCGCGTGTAAACTTTTGCCAGCATATAATATACTCTTTTAGAAGCGTCGGAAAAGTCGGAGAGCCCAAGCGCGAAAAAAAAAGAGAGAAAGAAAGAAAGAAAGAAAAGAGAGAGAGAGAGAGAGAAAAAGTCGCCGTGTTTTGTTTCGAGTTTTTCCAAGGCAATTCCCAAGCAATTTCGTTTGGGTGGTGTATATCAGTAGCTCTCTCTCTCTCTCTTCTACTCCACCTAGCCGCGGGCTAGTTTCAAGAAACGGCGTGCGAGCGTTTTTTTCTTTTCTTTCTCTCTCTCTCTCTCTCTTTCTTTTTTTTTGTTTACGACGAGCAATACAGACGCGCGCGAGGGTGCAGAAGAACAGAAAAAAAAAGAGTCAGGCCAAGGATAAGCTTTTTCTCTTTTGCCTCTCGCTCGCGCGCCTCGCAAAAAAAAAGGTAAAATTAATATTCGCAGCTTGACAGACACACACACACATCGCGTCATTTTTGCCTATGTGCTTGTATCTATATATACAGCGCGTGCATGTATTTATGCATAAGAGAGAGCCGCTCGTGCGCAGATGTTGCCAGGACAGTTTGATTCTTTCTTTATCTTTCTTTTCTTTTTTTTTTCTTTTTTGGCACGAGCGAGGTGCGAAAGCTTTGTACATATATAGCACGTAGGACCATTATTGCGATTCGTTCGCCGAAAGCTCTCTGTCTCGCTGGCAGAAAATATTTCTCCGCGCGATGAATTTATATAATGCAATCGAGTGCGCGAACAATGTAATTATGTATCGAAATTTCGAGCGAAAGGTGTGTGTAATATTACACCGACGACGACGACGACGAAGAGGGCAACAAAAGCACGCGACACTTTATTATATAAAAGAGTCTCTCTGAAAAATCATATTTGTCATATCAGTGTCGAGGCATCTCTCGGAGGCAGCTTGGACACAATGGGAGTTCGTACGTATGTATATGGGTAACGCGAGACGTCACTTTACGTCCATCTCAGGCGTTTCTTCTTCTTTTCCTCCAACAGCAGCAGCAGCAGCAGCAGTGACACAGAAATATATCTCGCGATCGAATCGTTTATAATTCATCGTCGCTTCGTTGACTCATTTAAAATCGTGCACCGCGAGAGAAAACTCGTAACGGTCGTTTCTTTACATTCAATTTTTATACGTATATAAGAAAAAAAAAAGTGTAACAGAATTGTGAATCAAACGCGTGCGAGGAGTGTGCCTCATACACATCCCGATGTTATGTATATACAAAAAAACTATCCATATAAATACGCGTGCGTCGCGAGCCGAGCGCGTGTTAGCTATCTGCATATTTATGCGAAGCGAAGGGGGGAGGGCACACGTATACTACCGAACAATGGCACGCGCGATTCTAATTGAGCTTTTCGGCGTATAAGTAAGACAACGACGACAAAAAATAAGCAGACAGAGAGAGAAGACCCCGCAGCATCCGCGTCTTTATATATAATAGCGAGCGCACGAGCTGCAAAAAGGGTTGAGAAGGAGATGATATACACGTATATACGTGCACGCGACGGTGAAGGGGTCATCGTCAAGGTGTGCGTATGTATATATAGTATAGGCGCGTGTGCACACGCACGGGATGACGATTAAGGTTTTAGACTCTCGCGCGTCCCTGTCTGTGTATCTTCTCTTATATATACCTATACGGCGATGATGATAATCATAATAACGTTCACGAAAGCGAATCGACGCCACGCGAGAGAGATTTTTGACTGCCCTAAACGAGCTCGTTAAGTTGCGGTGTGATTTTATGATTGATCTACTCGCGAGAGACAATGAAGAAATCGCGTGGACGAATGTCATCGATGAAATGCGGCAATAAATATAAAAGTGATAAAAAACGAGCAGGAATGAAAAAAGTATGCGTGACCGGTGCATCGATTACTTTATGCCCCTGTGGGTGCTTTAAAATTCAAAAATCCGATTCTACGCGTTGTGTTTTACTACTACTACTACAACTATTGCAGTCCGTCCGTCCGTGCGGTACGTGTCACCCCCCGCGATCATACGTTGTACTACACGCATAAAGGCACACCGCTGCTGTGTCCAAGCCCGAAAAACAGGCAGGGGTCGTCGTCTACCGTTCCAAAACGACGGACGAGCTGGGGGAGGGGGTTGGTTGGTTGGTTGGTTGGTTGCGTCGATGGCAGTGAAAATTGTTCGGACTCGTTGAACCAAATGTATCATTGTGCGTATTGTAAAACGCGCGCGTACTGCTCGACGGTCGCTTTTTTGCTGTTAACTGCTCCGATATCGTTCCGTACATATATGTACGCGTCTTAATTTCTGTCCAACAGTTCGCATACAACATGCGCTGCTGCATTATATTTACACGTATGTCTGCAGTAACGTTTTAACGACCCTTTTCTCGCTCGTCCGAAAAGTTTCGTCAAACTCGAGAGTCTGTATAACTAAGCTTCGGAGCGAGAGCAAAAAAAAAAAAAAATACGGGTAAAAAAAAGGAAAGCATATATACTGGCCTCGATGAATATATTTTCTCGAGCTGGTATATAGAGAACGTGCCACCCGCGTTTTTCCGCGCGTGTATGCAGTGCGGTGAAAAGGGAAAGTTGCCTCTTTCGCCTCGAAGCCATCACCATATACACTATATACATATACGCGATTAGAGCAATACACAAGTGTGCTTGTGTGTGTGAGTGTTTGTAGGTGCACGCGAGCAAGCAATTACCGCTCGCCGAAGCGCCGGTGTACAGGTCGGGGCTTCGTTTAATCGATAGCCCGCACGTACACATCGTAAATATTGCACTCGCACACATAAAGACACGTAATGCGTATGCACACGCGATGATCAGCCACGAGACAGCGTGGCATATAATACACGCGATTTGCACTTTGGTTTTCGCTCCCTTTAAGAAACGTGTATAAAAGATCAGAAAATCACTCACCGTTACTGATGGTATTCGTGTCGGCGTCCACGGACTCGGTCTTGGGCTTCTTCAGCGCCTCGATGCAGTCCTTGTCGTCCTCCAGGCTCGCGTCCTGTCCCGTTCTTCGCTTGGGCGTCGAGCTCGCATTAGCCCTCAGCTCGATCGGACTTCCTCCCGACTCGCCGCTGTGATGATGACTACTACTGTGATGATGATGATGATGATGATGATGATGGGACGTGGGCGGACTGTCGAGCGCTCGGGCCGACGACGAGCGTTTGATGATGGGCGCCGAGATGCTCGGCACTGCCGTCAATTTTTCCGTACTCGACGCGCCGCACGTGCCACCCGTCGTTATCGTCCCCGTGCCCTGTGTCGTTGTGGGGTCACCAGCACCACCAGTTTTGAGACCTAGAGCGTCCTCCGGGTCCGAGTCCTCGGGCGCGTGATTCGCCAGCGCCGAGGGACTCTGGCAGCCGGGCAGCGAGCTCCGGCAGTGATTGACCTTGTGCTCGATGAAGCGCACGATGTGTTCCAGCGGATAGGAGGCCCTGCAGCCGCCGCAAGTGACGAAGTCCAGGCTCGTGGCGACGTTCGTGGAGCCAATGCCGCTACCGACGACGACTCCACTGCCGCTGCCGCCGCCGCTCTGCGATGTTTCCGCTGCAATAATAAAGAAGAAAAATTAGAGACGCTTGATTAAAGTCAATTGGATGCTTTATATATTTTATTTTATTATCATCTGGGCGAGAGAGAGAAGAGTTTTTCGGGGTGAAATTGCGAGATTTTGGCCCTTATTCGCTGCTGGGTGATACAGCTATATATACAGGCGCTTAATAGCCCCGTACTCGACGAGAAAACTACCCGGAGAGGTCAGCCGCAGACGTAACAATTCACTTTTAGGGTCTCCTTCAAAGTCCATCTCTGTTATATACGTGTGTGTGTGTGTGTTCAGCATTCGCCAGACTCGTATATAACGTCGGGCGAACTTCTCTCTCTTTTCTTTTGGCACTATTTATTGCCACGCCTGCACATGTGTGTACATACATGTACATTCGTGTGTGCCTTACCCAACACGAGCTATATACACACGAAGGAAGAAAAAGGGACTCGAGATTAACATAGAGATTGGCATGAGTTCATATATCGATTCCTTTTTCTCTTTTTCCAGATAATACTGTGTGTGTGTAAGTGTGTGGCAGAGGCAGCAGGACTCGACTATATGTATAATATACGTATATAAGAAAACCTTTATCTCCGCGCACGCAGTTACTCTCTTCCTTCCTCTCTGGCTTTACTTTTCCGACCGAAACGAAAGAGAGAAAAAAAAGAGAGAGCGAAAAAGATTCGACTCCATTTTTTAAGCTTATATACATAGTAGGTAGTAGTAGCCTCTATATACACGATTGGACTATTGGGCGTGGTCACGAGTGTCCGGCGCGACTGACCATTGGCCATCTGCGCGCGCCGCCGTGTCCGAGTTTTCCCCTCTTCGATATATATATATGATGTATAATCGCCCCGCGAGAGCCGGCCACACCTTTCTCTTCTCTCGAGCTCCCGTGTCTAGTTTCATACACACGTACACACACACACACACACACACACACACTGTATTCTCGCGGTCTTTAAAAGTCCCGCGCGTTCCGTACGCCATGTGCCGTGCATTATGTATATAGTATATAGCACGCGACGAAAAAAGAAAAAAGAGAAAAGAGAGAGAGAGAGAAAGGGAGGGGCGGTCGTGCATCGGAGAAGAAGAAGGGGGAGGGGAGAGAGAGAGAGACTTTCAACCCTCTCCTCGCTCGGCGCTGCCGCTGCTGCGCGCACCACCCCTAAATATACGCGACTTTTAAAGTCACGCTATATATACGCGCTGCCTGCGAGTTTTCTATATAGCGGGTACGCGCGAAACACTTTCTCTTCGCCGCCGTCTTAATCTACGCGAGAATTAAAATATCGAAAGAGAGAGTTTTTCCTCTCTCGCACCCCCGCGCGCGCGCGCACACAGGCAAACTTCCTCGGTTTTATCGTTGCATGTATATAAGTGTGTGTGCGTGCGTATCAAGAGCACGCGTTAAACTTTTCTTTTTTTTTTTACTTCTCCTTCGTCTCTCGGAGAAAAATATACTGCTACGAGCTGCGGTGAAGGTTAGCGTGTACATTATATACAGCGTAAAGAGAACCCCCGTTAGAACCCGAAGAATGCGAGTATAGAAAAAAAAAGATTGAATTATAAAAAAAAAAAAAAAGGAAAATAAAAAAAATATGTAAGCGTGCTCTGCTGCTACGACGACGACGTGCGCGGCCGGTTTTAGAAACAAGAGACGAGGCGAAGAGAGAGAGAGAGAGTGAGAGGCAACAATGGGACTTTTGTTTTTTCGGGGGCAGATGTGTGGATGCTGTTGCAGCAGCAGCACGCGGGGCTCTCTCTCTCTCTACGTGTACCTATATACGTACTGCATACACACACACATTTACACGCGTGTACAACGAGTATTTCCGTCTAGCGGGATGGATGCTGCTGTTGCTGCTCCTGTAAACATTATACGACTCGGGTGTAAATCGTCGTCGTCGTGTGTGTATACACAACTTTTGTACGAGATTGTTTTAGTTTCTTTTTTTTTTTTTTTGGTCAATTTCACGCGCATCGCGAGAGGAAGTTAGAGAGCGAGGGAGGTAAACATCTCTTATGTTACGCTCATCGTTGTACGTACTATTACACGAGCCTCGACCTAATCATTCTCTACGATTCATTCGATTAACGTTCGTTGCCTCGCGATGATGGAAAAATCGCGACGACGTACTACTACTACTACGATATAAATCAATGCAACGGTTATACATACGAATAATATGTTATAGCTCATAGAGAGAAGAGAAAATATAAATTCGATTCCAAGTGCGGTATATCGTATACAGATGCCCAGGCGCGCGCACATACATATACAGCCACAAAAATACAATATTGCCTCTCTCTCTCTCTCTCTCGGTGCGCTATATATGTATGCGGCTGTTATATATAAGTTCGATTGCTTACAAATTGACCTTATACATCCGTAATGCCCCGCCGATCGAAAAAACATCTCTTTCTCCTTGCGTACGACACGATATTGCCATTGTTTGCCCTCTCTTTTTTCTCTGTGATTTCTTTCGCGTTATTATTATACGTCTATATCTGTATCGATGTATCAAGTGTATATCTATCTGCGCCTGTGTGTATGTGTGTATATGCAATCGAAGCGCAGGCGTAATCGACGATATTGTAATTTACGAAAATTGGAGTTTACATTTGCTCTCTCGCGCGTCCCGTCCACATAATGAGAATCTTATATTATATATTTCTACTGTAGCTGCTGCATTAGTACCGAGCGGACCGTAATAAATAAACGCTATACGTATCGTTTAATATTCCGTCACGCGGAAAAATAAAGAGAAAGAAGACGAGGAGAATGAAGACGAACGACGTGCGACTACTTGCCTCCTCCTATATAGTGCACCGTATATAGCAACATCGCAGTTGTGACATACCCACATAATGCACGTGTGTGTGCGCGTGTGTATTATATGTATTAAAGTCGCCGGAGGCAGTGTCCTTGTTAGAACATCCTAACTGTCAAAACGTACGTACGTACGCGACGTAATGTTGCCGTCTTCGCGACACATACACATACAGAGACACTGTGTGTGCAATTGAATTACGATCATCCCCAAAGGCATCGGCAGCAGCCGCAATACACGACATATATGAATGTATGTGTGTATGTGTGTGGGTAAGCAACGATTGTACGACCAATAAACCAATAATTCCATTATCCATTAGTATTGGCAAGTTGCGAGCCGAGGCGAGGCGAGCACAGACAACTGCAGGAATACACGTATAGATATATAGACGTAAAATCGACGGGTGCACAACAGGACCTAGGATTATACGAGAGAGTAAGAGAGTAGAGCTATATCTTGAATTACTCGGGTGATGGGTTGATAAGGAATTAGACCGAGAGACGCGTAGATAAGGATGAGAGAGAAATCGACATTTTTGGTTTATTTTAAAATATATCGACGTGGTGTTACGTTACCGATGAATGGCGACATTATGTGGGTCAGTCCAGTTTCACATATTCCACTCCGTTCGTAAGTACGAGAGTCACAAATGTTTAATAAACAAAATTTAAGCAGCAGAGCACAGGAAATGTTTGTATACAGTAAGCCGGCACAGACTGGTTTCGCGCGCACGCTCGATTGCAAACTGCCTACTGCTAACTATACTCAATAGGAACCTCGAAATCTAGCGACCTTTTCTACGCGACGCCTAGATACCGTATGCCGATCCCCCTCCCTTCGTCCCTTTCTCTCGCTGATTCAGCGACGAGAGAGAACATTAGCCGAAAAAAAAAGTCGAAGGCCTCGACGACGCGTTTCATGTAACGGACCCTGCGCGCGCGGACTCTGGGCCTCGCATGCGTGTGTATACGATAGACGAGAGGTGGAGAGTGGGGATCGGTTTGGTTTTTTTTTTCAACTATAGACCTAACGTTTCTTTCCTCGGGTGAGTTTTTTTTTCTCTGGGTACTACTTTTTTTTCAGCTCGGCACAACCCCTTTCGTTACGGGCACGTACACGTACGGTAGTGGTGGTAGGGCCTCTGGGCCTATACGCGTAACTGCCTTACACTTTCTCTCTGGGGTACGATTTTCTCACACACGTCTATATGCCCCATATACACGAACGGACAGGACACAGAGAATATAGGTGAGCGAGGTTTTTTTCTTCTTCTTCCTTCGATGTTTCGGATTAACCCCTATAGGACCCAGACGTGCCTGTGCGTGGACACAAAGGATGCGGCCTGTACTTTTTTTTCCAGTCCCGTATGCGAGAGAGATGCGCGTAGACGGAGATGAAAAAAAGTATATAAGCGAGACAGAGAGAGAGGGATGGGAGAAAAAAGTAGCTCGACCCCGAGATGACGACGCTGAATTATAAAAAAGAGGGACACTGCTTGTATACGAATGTACCGTTGAGCCAGGCCCAATGTACGATTAGCTTCTTGGGTGCTGCTGCTTCTGTCCTTTCTGCATGTGCGCGTTTGTACACTCGTAAATTTATGCGTAAGAGCAAAATTGACAAAACTGAGAGAGAGAGAGACGATCGATCTTTATCGATTTGTTCTCGCGTTGCGATGTTTTTTTATTCTCACTCAAGTACCTCGACGTTTTGCTTCAACGGATCCGGAAGCTTTCGAGAAATCAATTGTGTATATATCGACGTATTTGTAATACCCAGAGAGGTAGCTCGAAAATTAAGCGCTGATCTTTCGCGGACGATTAGACACAAGTGGTATATATTATAATCGCTCACGAATGCGATACAGAGAGTAATCGATGAAAAATCAAACGCGTACGTATTGGTATTAATGGTATGCACGAAAAATCGCTGTATTATGCGATCGTAAGTAGGACGGGTTCAATAGGTCACCCGAAACTTCTCTGAGTGACAGTTTCTCTCTCTCTCTCTAGGCGATTTAAAAAGAAAAGAAAAGAATGAAAAAAAAAATTCAAACGGTACGAGGGTCGCAGGTACAGGTAGTATACAAACGCTATAATACACTGTAAAGCGTGTTAAAATCGTCCCACGCGATTTCAATCGGTGTCCGAGCTAAGTCC